AGACCTTGCTCCAGTAGGGTCAGGCGCTGCGCCACCTTGTAGGCGCGCACTGGATAGTTGCACATGTTGACGTACGTATGGCGGCGCACCTTCTCGTCCACGTCCCACAGACGCTGCAGTATGTAGGGCACCGTGATGTAGTTGCGGCCCATACAGGTGATAATGCACTGGCGCACGCTGGACGAGGGATCCGCTGACAGATGGAACTGATAGGCGCAGACAACTGGATCGACGGGATTGTCCGGAATCTGGAGACGCTGCATGGCCAGGACTGCTTGCTTGCGCACACCGGCCGACACGTCCTTCACGCGCTCCAGCATAGTCTCGAGAATCTCGTCGCACTGCGTGTCGTCCAGTGCCGCATTGGGTCCCAGTTTCTCAAGTATCAGATTCACAAAGTAGCAAATCCGATAGCGAACGTACGGGCTGCTGGAATATGTCTAGGAAAAACAAACGCATTCAATTGAAATGCAATGGTAAAGTACAGTAGACCCTTACAGTCAACAGCCAGTGGAATGTTTCAGTCATCATGGGGTGCGTCTTCTCCGACTCGAAGCTGGTCACGAATTTCGCGCAAAAGGACAGGGCCTTGTTGCCGTTCTCGTTGCTCTCCTCCGCATCGAGTACAGTCTTCAGCACATTGATGAATGTGTTCAGAAACTCTTGGTGGCCCATCTGCAAGGCAATTGACAATTCACAGTTGGATTCGACGAGTTCTAATCGGCTGAGCCAGCTGGCTAGCCAGCGGGTCCAAGTGACGCTGTTCCTTACCCTTGAGTACAGTTGCTGCAGCTCCTTTTCGTAGCGCTTGTGGAGTGATTCCTTGAGTTCCGCGTGACGCATTATTGTGTACATGGATTCCGCGCCTCCTCTGCATTGTTCCCGGATGGGAACGGAGGTCGGATCACTGATCTCCATTTCGTTTTCCTTTTCGGCCGAAACGGCATTGTTGTTCTTGGTCGCCTCCTTTTTTGATGCGGCTGCTGCCGCCGCTTTGGATTTTGGCTTCGCTTTTGCCTTTGGTTTGGGCATTTCGTGATTTGTTTTGCTTTTACTTTTTTCAATTTAATTTGCCAACACACTGTCACTAACTTAATACTGCTCGATTATTTTATACTGTACAATTTGTACAATTTTCGTGCGTGTACAATGGAACACAAACAAGCGTAGCGTTGTTGCTCATTCTTCTTTTTCACCCCCATTCGCTTGTTAATTTCAAAAAGAACGCTACGCGTGCGGCAATATTAGTGCATTTTAGACTGATGCTAGGGATGTTACATATATATCGATACATATCGCATCGTTATTCTGATTCCTCTTTTCAACCTATTCGCTTGTGAATTTAAAAAATTAACAATAAATGGCTGTTTCAATTTATTGTCTGGTGCTAGGGATACCTTTGTTTTCTTGCTAATGATACTGTTTAAAATTGAAAGAAAGAAATAAAGTAATCTGTGAGAATAATGTAGTACACAAACAAATTCCGTTACAACACGGCAGCAAAATATTCAACAAAAATGTCTAAAGTAACGAAGAAAGTTTACGAAGCTCGCTCCATTTACCCCGACCGCACAAAGTCCGAGGAGAAGTCATTCACCGAGGTTAATGTCCTCGTCAAGACTTTGGATACGGCGCTGCTGCTGCTAAGCTCCAAGGAGGAATGCGTCCTGTTGACCGTCTTCAGTCACATAATGGACTTTGCGCGGCGCCAGGACGAGAATGTACTGGAGCTGAAGGAGCATAAAATGCTGGAAGTGCTTCTGGAGAAGCAAATCTTCATTGATTCGGAGAACGTTATCATCCGACGCTTCGCCTTGTACCTCATGAACGCCTTAATGGACAACACGGACATGAACACGCTCGAGCCCGAGACGACTGAAGGCATCCTGGAGGTGGCCTATAGTTTCTACCTGCAGGAAACTGACGATTTCTGCATAGAATATCTCTCGCACCTCCTAAACATGTGCCTGCGTGATCCCAAAGTGGCCCAGGGAATTGTAGAGAACTTGGAGCTCTTGCAGAAGTTCAAGGCAGTGATTGCCACCTCCGAGAATCCCGACACCATTCATAACTCCATCGAGGCCGTTCACAAGATCCTTCTGATCCAGAGTGCAGAGGAGATGTTGGAGTTTACCACTCTTCCCGACTTTCCCATCGATCGCATTATCTGCGAGGTGACCAGCAAATACCAGGAGATTCGGCTTGCGGCCCTGAAAGTCTTGAAGACCCTCCTGGTGGACACCGGTGACCAGAGTGCGTTTGAGCCGCTGCATCGCTGCTTCCATGTCCTGGAGCAGCTAGTCAAAGCATTTTGCGAAGATCCGCAAGGACCGGATGCGGTCGAGATCATTGAGGTGCTGGCCACGGCTCTCCGGTCGGAGAAGATGACCAAGCTGTTCTTCGAGCATAACCTCTTCGACCTTATTGTCGAGCACCTGAAGGACCAAATCGATATCCTGCCCCTTGAGCTGCGCTGCACCATCATATCCATCTTCGCGGAAACTGCGAAGTACGTGCAGTATCTGGTGAGGATGCACACTGCCGAGATCACGGACATGTTCCTCGGCTGCCTCATGGAGAACGACCCGGCACCGGCCACCTTCGTGATCCTCGGGCTCAACCGCATGGCTGATAATCCGGACGCACTGCGTCGAATTGTGACCGAGTTTGATGAGGGGGCTCTGCAGAAGCTAGTGTCCATTTTCCAGTCCCCGGAGGTGATCATCAAGACCCGGGAGCAGGCAGCCGAGTTTATCAATCGCCTCCTGACCGGAGCCTATCGCGACACGGCTGGAGAGCTGATGGACTTGGACATTCCAGGAGTCCTGACCACCACCATTCAGCAGGGCCTGCCTACTCTCTCCATTGATTTGATCCTCTCTCTGCTGGTAATCGTCGAGAGTTTGGCCCAGAACGAGGAGTACCGAACAGTCCTGGGCCAGCATCGTCCGCTCACCGAGCAGATTGCTCAACTTCTGATGGTAATGGCAGTCTCAGGAAGCACTCTCATTCTGTGGTGTCTTGGTATCTCTAACGCATTTTTCACCCACTTCCACAGCGCTCCTATGCCCATTCCATTCTCGTGAACAACATCTTCCGTTGCCTGTGCACCATCGTCGATGAGCAGGATGTTCGTGAGGTGCTGCTTGAGAACTACATTGTATCCTCTATAAAGCGGGCTCTGAAGTCGCTCTCTAATCTGGTCAAGACGGCGGTGACCAACTTCATTCTGCAGACCACGCGCTTTAGCGAATTCATCGACGCCTACATAGATCGCGGCATTCTGGAAGTGTAAGCGGCTCCCAACTACTCTCACCCCCCTGCATTATCATATTTCTATCCCAATCCCGATCTTAGCCTGATGCTGTTCCAGAAACACGCCTTCTGCGTGTCCACCTGGGGACCGGCCATCGAGAGCATCCTCTCTAAGTGCCCCACGATGAAGTTCTGCATTAGAAACTGCCTGACCTTCACCGACATCACTGCCGGCAAGGACTTTTATGTGTCCAGAAAGAAGTTTGACGACTTTCGCACGTTCCAGGACATTCTACGCAACGACTGCTCTCCTCTGGAGGCCGTTCTGGTGGTCAATTTTGACCGATTGGAGGCGGATGAGGCGGATCTGATGAGAGTTCCGTCTTTCTGCCTTCCAATGTCCGATGGTGCCGGTGATCATACCTGGTGCTACTGCAAGCGTCCTGCTGATCCCCATCTACCCAAATATCTGGAGACGCTTAATCAAACCCTAATGGTGGGTCTATTCCATCATATCCTTAACAAACTGCTAACCATGTCCCTTCTGATGACTCACAGATGCACGGCCTGGTGGAGAATCCGCCAAAGGTGCGCAGCGCCATCGATTTTGATAACGTGGCCAAGCGCACCAAGATCATTGCCGAGGTCGTGCACAATGTGATGAACGATAATCTCAAGATCCTCGACCTCAACTCGACGGAGGAGTGTTCCCGCCACGCGGTGCGATGCCACCTTCAGGAACTGCGCTACGTCTACCACACTAACTTCATACCCCTGGGCATGGTGCACAGCGGCTGTCAGTTTGAGCGCGCCATTCTCTTCAAGGCCCTGGCCGATCAGATCGGCCTGCCCTGCACCCTGGAGCGCAGTGTCGACGGCCGGATGTTGTACAACGAGGTGCCGATGCCGCTGGAGATCGACAAGGATGTTCACTGCGACAAGAAGACCCTCCAGTTTATGCCCTGGCGCATGCTGCGCCCCACCCACGTCGTCGATCTCATGTACAACGTGGGCGACCTGTATCCGATGCAGAGTCGCCAGGCACTGCAGTATCTGCGCCTCTATTGATCACTGAGATTTTTGTACTTAATCCTTTTTCCAGCTTCCATTTCAAAATTTCCTGTCGCACCATTTATCGAATGGGCTTGTAATCGAGTTTATTAAAGGGGCCCAAGAATCAGTGGTTTTGGTCTCAGCTAGTCCTATCCACAGTCCACTGCGCATGTCCTCGTCCACTGCGTCTTCGCCTGGAATTCGTCCTGGCGACACATGTACATAATAAGCAAGCGACTGGGATTGTAAATTTTAAAAAATATCGTATATCGATATATTAAATTTTATAAATTTTAGTATCGCCGTATCGAATATATAAATTTTAAAATATTTATATATCGGAAAAATTCAAACATTTTTATTGAATTTTGAGAGGGAGCTGTGAAATATTTGGGTACTCTTCCTTCTTGGAATATAATAGGTAATTGGGTCTGTGATTGGGTAAGCACTTACAGTCTAGATATTTCTATTAATCTAATCGTCGAAAAAAATATCGCACCGAAAATATAACACATGCAAAGCGTTGCTCTACTGGCTGGCTCATAATGAGCCAAATAACCTGGAATTTAGTTTTCTGCGATACGTTTGATGTATGAAATGGCACATCCTTATAATATAAGGTCCCATATCGATATATCGATAAAATATCAACAAACATGCAAGCGACTGTTGGCGGAGCATTTGGAACACCAGCGTAGATTAAATAGAAGCTGGTGGCTTGCACCATGTGCCGAGTGCTCCTCACGCTCGCCTACTTCCTCCTGACCATCTCGTCCATTGTGTTTACGGCCTGCGTCAACAATGGTGAGTGTGTGTGCTCCTTGGAGCGATGTGACCTTGTTCACAAGCAGCCGCAGAAGAGAAAAATCAATAATCTTTAAAATTCCTGCATTCCCGGACAGTCACGGGCACCAGTTCACCCGGGTCTGGGACCAGCACCTCCCTGACGGGACACATCCACCGCACTGCGGCGGCCATCGAACGGGTGAACAAGCTCTGGTGCTACGCCTGCCACACGATGGACGATGGCGAGTCCTGCGTGGACGTGGCGGTGCGCAATGATTCGTCTCTGTTTAAGAAGTGCCAAGGCGAGGAGTTCATCTGCATGGTGAGTGACAGTCCCAGAAGAGAGCCATTAAACAGACAACACTACATGTCTATTGCCTCAGGTCAAGCGGTTCTCCTATACCACCAGCACAGAGAACTCCACGAGCTCTCCGAAGATGTGGTCCTTGGATCGCCGATGTGTCGCCAACTGCGAGCCTGGCTGCATCATCATCGGGGAGCGGACCAAGCTCTACGCCTGCACCTCCTGTTGCGAGGAGTCCTTCTGCAATACGGGCCGCGGTGCTGCCTCGGGCATCTTTCATCGCGAGGCCACTGGCATTGGCACGCGTATGTTCTGGCTAGCTGCTCCTTTTCTGATCAACATATCTCTGGTCCTGTACAAGAGGCACTCCGGTCACGTCCTCATCAAGCAGCACTAGTTCCGGGCGTGTAGCGCAGCCCGTAGATCTGCGCGGTACAACCTCAATGAATTTACTCAACGAACCCAATGTTGCTCAAATCTACTATTATCTTTAATTTCCTAGCCAAGTAGATTTCGGATCCTGTAAGCTAACGTATGCTATACGTTTTATGAATGTATGTAGATAGTACAATCCATGATCTTTCCGTGTGATAATAAATGATTATTTTGTCACTACAGTGTGAGCTCATGGACACACTGTTCTCACCTCAGATCTCGTGGTTTTTTTTTGTAGTGAACCCATGCATATGCATACTCTGATATATGTATATACATATGTATAAAGTCATAAGCGCGTATATTAACGCAGTGACATAAAAAAATATTATTTATGTTAAACATTCCTTTTGAAGAGCGTCATGATCAGCCTCTTGAGCGCGGATCATCTAACAGGCAGAACCCAAAAGCACTCATACTGAGGCTTTAGGGTCTCTTACAATAAGCCACTCAATGCTGATCATCCATTTCCGTAGACCCAGTCAGAGACCACTGATTTGTTTTATAATACTCGTACATTTTTCAAACCCAAGCGAATTACAACATTCAGCTCAGTACAATATTTGAGCATTACGAGAAGAAGATGGTAGGAATGATCTACTCCAACAGAAGCTATGCAATCAATGAGTGCTAAAACCAAATTTCGTACTTCTTGTTTAAATTTTAAATTGGAAAAAGCCATCAGAAAATACGGGTAAAGATGAAGAAACATTAAAAATGATAGAAAACTTCTAGCTTGAGTCGCTATATCCTCCGGTATATTAATTTCATCGACACGAATTAAAAATCTTGTGAAAGGACGTGCTCTTTTCTTTTCCACACATTAGTTTATGTGAATATCTGCAATGAAAATGCCGAGTACAAATTATAAAAGCGCGCAAAGTCATCAAAGGATGTACATTGCAATTTCTAGGTATAAGGAAGCGATCTACTTTAGGCTAGGTCTACAATTAAATGACTGACGCACGGAGTAACAGCTAGGATAGATATCCTGTTGCAACATGATTATGTTTACTGGGCGGCAAGGGGCATGCAAATATATAATTCATGTAGCAGTGCGAGCTATTGTATCGAATGGCAACCAAAGTCTCTAATTGAATGAATGTAGGCAACCTCGTCTATTGTTTTAGCTTATTCATTGGTAAATTGTTAATGGAATATTTTGCATTACAATTGCCCATTAAGATTGTACTTACGCACAAAATTCCAGGACCTACCCACCTCGGCCTTCCAGGCAGGTGTTATCCCACATTTTCGTAAGCAACTCCTAAGCCTGGCCCTGCCTTTGGTTCTGTTTCTGGTATTAAACCATTCATTTGCTTCGTGAATTGCATTACGTTTCCGTTTCCACACACAGCTTCCTCTGTCTGCATCCGCATTAGCCTCGTGTCCGGCTCTGCAGGGGGGCGGATGGAGATGGAGAGCAGCCACCCACTCCTTTGCGGGCTCTTCTGGGCAGACATGAATTATTTATTGGACAAGCATTCGGAGCATCGGAAGAGTACTCATAAGCAGAGGCAGAAGCAGAGGCAGATGGCGGGGCCGAAACAGGCTTATCCTGGCTGCCACCTAATCAGGATGGAGCAGCCTCCACGTCTAATAGTGCTGCCATTAAAAACAGATACTCACATGGGGCATGTAGGATGTGTGTGCGTGCTTTTGTTTCACTCTTCTTTTTCGGACTACCATCATGCACCACCACGCCACGCCCACTAATTTGGGAGCGCCAACACACACAGAGTCGCCTCGTTAACGCCCATGAATTGCATAGAATGTGCTGGCTAGGTACTTACCAGAATATGTCCTGCCCCTGGAGGCACATTTGGACGGGGCTAAAATGTTGCCGGGATGCTTGGATGCTTGGATGCCTGGCCTGCCTCCTAGATGAACTCCCTCGCCGCGGCTCCTAGGCTCCTACATCTTGGCTAATAAACCCGAGACAAATCTCTTCATTTTGAGCTTAATTTTCTTAGCAAATTTACATAAATGGCCGAGGGGAGAACGGATAGAAGAAGTCGGATAGGGTTCACATTCACCCGACCAGCCATGCACATCCATCATGGCCTGGCCCCGACAACAGGGGTTTGGGGTGGTGGCTCTGGGATGGAGGGAGGTTGCTGTGGGTTGAGTAACCTTGCGCTTTGTTGCTTTATATGGCCTTCGTGTATTTGGCGTTTATTTTTGCGGCTTCCATGTCGTAAATCTTCATCAGACGGCAAATTACGTGGTTTCCATCGTCCTGGTCCTCCGACATCCTTCGCATTCGGGGGCACTTTTCGAAATGTGGCGGAACGTATCCGGCAAACAATAAAGTGACCGCAACGGGAGCCGAGCGGTCTCATCCTCCGACACCCCACCTCAAAGGTGGATGGGGGCGGTGTTCTGGAAACAATAAACGGTGACAAAAAGTGAAACAGGATATGGCCATAAAAACGACGCTAACAAAGGGCAGAGCCACGGCGAGAGCGGCATCCGCGATGGACAACAAAAAGAGGCGTCTGTATCCCAGCCATTGACAACAGTTTCATTTATGAAAAATAATGGCAACAGCAATATGCAAAATTTATTATTATATTTGCGTTGAGCCGCAAAAATGCGACGGATTTCACGAGCCACGACCACCGACCAACGACCCACGACCCAAGGCCCAAAGGCGGATGGGAATGTCAATTTGCATAAAAAGAGACAGCTTTTGAATACCCTTTAATTGCCAGCAACTGAGGTCACATTAAACATACTATGCGGTGAAGGGGGAATGGGAACTGCTATGGTCTGATCTGATTAAAGACTCCTTAATATTACAAAAATTACACAAATTGGAGCAAAATCGGTGACAGATTTGGCAGACTCTGCTCTATTACTACGAGTACTGCCGTTTTCCATTTCTTTCATTGTGCTGTCCGCTTTATTCATTCATTTTTATGTATTGCCACTTTGGCATTGTCATGTCCTTGTTTGCCTTGTGATTGCACCCGACACTGTTTTATTTGCTCCTTTTTTGCCATCATTCGGGGCTCTCGTTAGTGTTGGTGCTGCTGCTGCTGCTGCTGCACGGGTGTCGCGCCAAGTTCACACAGAAATTTCAATTAAAATGCAACAATGGCGCACTCCATCATCCACGCGGCAAACTGACATACCCCCGTTGTATGCCCCTCCCATATTTGGCAGACAAAAAGTCGACTCGAGTCTCAGCGTCTCGCCAGTGGCTGGCAAATGACTCTTCACTGGGATGCGGGCTGTTGGCAATGTTCGGAGGTTCCAATAATGTCTTATGGAAAATAAACTACTTAAAATTGGGCTTAAAATCGTAGGCTTTCCAGCCATCCAGTCAAAAAAGGACACTAAAAAGCTGCGGTTAAACGTTGATAGAACAATGCTTCAATTTAAGAATTAATATGGCATCTGGCTAAACTTTGAAGGAATAATAATTAGTGGAATATTGTGCGATTCGTGGTTGTTCTCTTTCTTCTCCTTCCTCCCTCAGTATGTGTACGCGGTGATAAATCCTTGTCGCTGAATAAACAGGATGCACATGCAAAATAGACCACACCAACAGCCAGCCGTGAACAGGGGCGAGGGCACGGATCAACAGACACTGGCAGGACCCAGGACAAGATATGCTCGATTTTGAACTCGGACTGGATTCTGGTCCCAAAAATGCTAGTGGCCTTGTAGACAGTTGTTTCCCAGGCAACAAGGCTTCTCCCTGCTCCCTCTTCAGACTTCTACCTCCTCTGGCTGCTCCCTCCTTTGGCAGCTCCTGGGAGTCAACGGCAACGACTGTGTAATTAAAACTTTGAGCAACAGCCACGGAAACTACAATTGACTGACTGCCTGACATCCTGGGGCCTTGTAGCGTAGGAGTTTGTGGCAGGGGGCAGGGGGCACGGGACACGGGTCGGAGTCTAAGTTGCGCCCCAAAGCTGTCAGTTTGGCGCCACTTTGGGTGCGAAGAGTTTTCCTTTTTTAATAAACTTTCACCAAGCTGCTGCCAGCTCATCCCTTATTGGATTTGCCACTCTCTGAATGAGTGATGTTGAAGGAAGCCGAACGGGAAAGAAAGGGAATAGTGGCGATGGCAGCTCGGGAAAAGCTCTCCCATTAAATGCGTTCTCTGCTTCTCCGATTTGCGTAAACGATTTTGATAGATTTGATGGGATTTCGGTTTCAGTACGTCTCCATCCTGCATCCCGCGTCCCGCCTCCCGCATCCTTCCAGCATCCAGCGCTGTGGCAGACCTTGGTCACAGCTCCAACTTTCTCGCTGTCTGGCTAAGTCCTTTTTCCTTGACAGCTTGTGGCTTTAATTCTTGCCATTTTGGCACGACACGGAAATGCACTAAACTCAAATTAGAGTGTGAACCTCCTCGCTCGTGTTGGGAAATTGATTTTCTCGTGTCTTTACTTTTCCTCCATCCCAACCCATCAAACCCATCCAACCCATCCAACCCATCCTCCTGTAGCCCTCGTAATTTGTGCACACAGCCAGCCGGGCACACACAGAATGTTTCTCTGCTCACGTTTAATGCCGTACATGAATTTGCATATTAATCTTGGGTCCCGTTCTCCTTTCTCCGCACGGCAGGGGGCCCGGCCTGCCTTCTATCTTTCCGTCGTTCCTTCTTCGGAGGGTCTCCGACCATTCTGAAATTACATGGAACTACACATTTTGGTTTGTCACCTCGGCATTACCACGGCACGTAGAACGAAAAACGTAATCAGCTGTGTGTGCAAAAGCTTTCGGGAGTCCATCCCCATCGGCCCACTGCCACCCCCTCGGCGTATGCAAATGGAGGCCCGGCCAGCGATGTTGCCAGCTGCTCTCAAGGCGACTTAACGCCTGCTTAATGAACATAAATTAGTCAGGTGTCACACCGGGAGACCCCTCTCGGTACCCCCCTCCCCCACCGTGGGGGACTGCCTTGGCAAGGTTGAGGCGCGGCACAGCATGCGTTTATATTTCAATTTTGGCGCTCGTTACTTCCGCTGTGGGGCACGAGCCTCCCGTGGGACTTGTAGTTTACGGATCCTTTAATCAAGGACGCTGCCTGACATTTACTCTTACGATTGAGATCGAGATTATCACTCATTAATTCAGCGATATGACAGTAGAGTCCTGCGAGCTCAATTGCCTGCGAGCGACGATTGCCGAGGCATCGATTTCATGTATATTTATGTATGTATGTTTCAAAGGAGCATTTGGATGACTGCGACCAGCGGTTGTCCGCCGTTCTAATTGACATTTCAGTGGAAGAGCTAGTCACACACTCGTTGCCCCGTCGAATGGGCTAGATTTCCGACCATGGACCACTCAAAGCCATGTGACCCAGTTATCGAGTCCGCTCGTATGGGAAACTCTTGCCTTCAATTACTGTTTGCTAATCATAGCCATACCATTGCGTCATTACGCTTGACAGTCAGCTTAAGTGCAGGAGGCAGCCCACCATCCGCCAGCCGCCAGCTGCCATCTGCCAGGAAGAGCGATTAATACCAGCTGTTACGCTCGTAGCCACTTGACCGCATATTAAACCAGTGGGAGGGTCCTGCTATTCCTCACAGCCAGTCCAGGGTCTGGTCAAATGGTTAAGTGCGAAAACCGCGACTTCCCGCTGGGGCAGAACTATGCCTGATTATGTGGCCTGCCCCATACATCCGGCACAGACCCTCAGCATCCGCCACTCGACCCCGTCCAGCGGCATCCGATTGTCTCTCCTGCGGCTGACAGGAAGCAATCAATAGTGTAATGCCAGACAGAGCCATCCGCCGCAGTTTGCCTGCCACCGACCTGACCGAAGGACACCTCACAGACGCGATGAAAATGCAGGAAATGCAGGAAATGGGAACCAAAAAAATCGACTAACGCTCGGGTAATTTGTCACCTTCTAGCGACTTCTTTTGTTCATCGGGTTGATGGGGCCAACGTTAACCCCTTGGAGGCGGCACCTGTCCTGTCCGGCCACATACCACGACACCCATTAACTGTCTTTCCGTTGTCTCCATCCATTCCATTCCGTTTCCATAAAGCTTTTGTGGCAAATGTAAATAATGCGTTTTTTTAATCAAAAAGAACAGCAGTGGAAAATCCATTAACGGAGTACGTGCCGCCAGATTCTACTGGGGCTTGGGGACTGGAGACTGGGGACTCACCCTCCTCCTTGATAACTCCACTGGCGGTGGTGCTTGACTTTGCCCCATGCGGCGCGCGTCATTTGCAGGTTGATTTACAAATTTCTTTAATGGGGCGACGACAACAATTTTAATTAGCACCTGCTCTGGGTCTACTGCCTCCTCCTGCCATTTGCTGATCCAGTAATCTCCATAAAACACCGCGACATGCTCCAACCTCCATGGAAATTAATTTCCAACTTTCCTTTGCGCTTTTCTCTCTCTCTCTCTCTCTCGCTTTGTGCTCCCTCACGCACTTGGAAAACTTTTGCTTTAATGATGCCATTCAAATGCGGCGCATGGCGTCCTCCCGTCCTTGTCGTTGACTCCTCCTTAACCCATTTCTGCCCTCAGACGCTGGGTACTCCTTCCCGCTCTTCGCTCTGATTCCCGTTCTCAAGTAACCACCGAAGAGGCAACATCTTGGGCTGCTCTTCCGATTCAATATCCTAATGCCTCTTCCTAGAAATTTATTCTGTTTGCAGTGCTGTTTGCTTGGGCCCTGCATATGGTGTCTGCTCCACCACCCTCTGCTCCCCCTCCCCTCCCCCGCCCTACTTTGTATATACCCCCGGAGGGCTCACTCTTTTCGTGGGGCAGCAATAATATTTTGCAAGTGTTTCTAAACAAGCACAAAGCCATGTTTCAACAGCTGTAGCCTGTAGTCCGTAGTCGGAGTGTGGTTCTGGTTTCGCTGCCGTTTTTATTGTTATGTTCCACTACTATTACTCCACCCTCTCCACCACCCCCCCTTCCTTTGTTAGAATCTCCCCTTGCACCCGCTGCCGTTTGGTAAACTTTTGCTGCACATTAAAGCAATTTGGCCAACATTTATAGACTGATTTAATAGAATCTAAGGGAGTGGTTTGTCAGAGGGGGGTGCAGTGGAGCAGCAAGGAGAGGGCTCCACTCCACACACAAATGAGATATTTCCACACAACTGAACAGAGCAGACTCTGTGTGTCTGTGTGCACTTGGATATAATTGTTTGACTAAATGAGTGCGCTCCATCCCCATCGCCACTCCCTACTCTATATGTTTGTGCCCCCAAATGGTGCTACACTTCGCTTAACGCTCACACATATGTACATATGTGCAGAGTCGAGAGTGGAGAGGGGAGATTGGGGAGGCCACTGAATGGGGAACAGAACAACAATAATTATGGCAAGCACCCTCAGACCCCAACCGCATCTCCATCCCCATGCCACATCCCAATCGCATCTCCCCTCTTCGTTTAGGCGAATTACAGGGCTCTGAGTGGGGGCTAGGATGGGGGCAAGGGAATTCATTTAATTCCCTGTCGTCTGCTTCGATGCGTGCGTCCCTCCACTGTGAGTGGATAGAGCCAAATTGATATGACTCTTGGCATTGTGCGCTACCAGATAGCCATGTAAGCTCCTTCTGCTCTCGAAGCTGCTCCCATAACGAGGATGAAATTGAAGTCTAAACAAACAGAAATCATTGAGCAAACAGGAGCTGGAGGATGCGGGCAAAGATCAGGCCAAGGAACAGCGCCCCGAACAGAGCACATAAAAATAAAAGTCCCCGCGAGTCTCCATGGAAATTGAATATTTAATTATGCGTCGATGGAAATGGCGTCGGAACTTGGTGACGAAAATGGGCCCAGACATCATGAGGATAATGAGGAGAGGGAGGAGGACGCTAAGATACGAGGCTGGAGCGAGTCGAATTTCTAGCAGAAGTCAGAGTCGGGGCTGGAAAAGTCTGAGGAATGTTTACAAGGACAACAATTGCGAGGCTGCTAAATAATTTATTCCAATTTCGGAGAGATTTTCACAAAACCAAAAAGTTAACTTTCCCGAAAGAAATGCTAATGTTTTCCCTAGAGGGGGAAAGGAGGAGGACATTAGACATCGGGTCACAGCCATCCGATGGGAGGGGGCCATTTCTCGGTTCATTTTGAGGGAAAACTAAGGGATTTATTGGGTAGATAAGTGAGGTTCTGATGGCTGTTTGGGTTAGTTTGGATTCAGTTCTGCTCGAGGGAAAACGACGAAGGGCGGGCCCGTGGGTGGCAGTCGCAAAGATACCGAGGAGCGGCAGACTGTCTGCGTCTGCCTCTGCCTCCATGGAGAACCTTTTGCTTATCTAAACAGTGACCTTCTCCCCAACTCCAGACTCCAGTACTCTCTACGCTCCACTCTCCACACAGGAGTGCTCCCATCACATCCTTCACCTCTCCAGGCACTGGGTTTCTGTGTCGTCTGTGTGTGTACTGCCCTGCCGCCCCCTCGTCCACGCCCCACATGAGGTATGCACCGGTACGTGAGTGCCACACAGAACTTGCCCCAGCCAAAGGGGACAGAGACGCAGCAACCAGACATCCTTGAAGGGTGTGGGGGAGGGGGAGGCAGGGAAAGCCGCATATTTATGAATGGCTCTGCTCTTGTTTCGAGTTAACGCACTACGGGAGCTTTATCAGCTCGTAAATATAAATTAGAATTTAATTTTTATCGTCGAGGAAAGGTGGCTGAAGCGGGATGCGCCCTCCTCCCCTGCCTGGGGAGAAATCGTGTGGTGCTTGGGACAAATTAGAGTGGAGTAGCGCCATGGAAACCCCGCAAGGAGACTCTGCTTCAACGGGATTCATTTCCATCTCCATTTGGCTGCCACGTGCCGCAATATTTCAAAGGCTTTGATTTACCCGTGGGCAGCTCGCAGCTCGCAGTCCCTGTCCGATCCCGATACCAGTCCGAATCCCATTTTCAATCCCAATCAACCCCCTTGGGGCTGTTAATGGGGATAGTTCTCTATCGGCTCTCACCTGGGTCAGCGTCAGCTGCGAGGAGGCGTAGTAGGATATCCTAGAGGGACAGATCGACTCTGGCTTCGAGTAGATTGTTTCCCCAGCCTGTGTCTGGTCCCCCATCGGCAGCAGGGCGGTGGCGTAGGGCGTCGGGATGGGGGAGCTGCGGAAACCTGTAGAGTGGATGCGTTAGGACAGGGCTAACCCCAGTGGCCAGTGGTGGGTGGAAAGGGGGGCACGGGGCTGGGATAACTCACGGTCGAAGATGCTGCACGACTTCTTGGTCTCCCCGGGGTATTTGTTGAGGCTGGCGATGGTCGCGTAGGAGCCGGTGGCACTCGGTGGCCGTCCGAGCGGGTCGAGGCGGATGAAAACGTTCTGGTGGCTGCCATAGGCCGCGGTGGTGAAGCTTGTGCTGTGGAGAAGGCAGAGGAGGAGGTGTTAATGTTGAGGAGAGAGAGTAATGGAGGGGTTAGCTTACTGAAGCGAGTCCTGGCGAAGCTGCTTGCGAGCCCGCACTCAGCCCGCTGCGGCACTCAGCAAGGCAGGGCCCTGGGAGGGGGCATGGGCGGGGGCCGGCGATTGGTTCGGTTCGGGTGAGATGCCTGTTGATTGGAGGAGATGGATGGTGATGGATGAGATGCATGTGATCCCTGTGGCAGTGCGAGCGATGGTGAGACCTACCCTTGGCACAGATCTTGTTGCGCTTGAAGTGGAGCCTGGTGTCGTTGAAGCGCGGGGGTCCTCGCACCACCATGTTGACGTTGACGGGCAGCTGGAGGCTGGCGTTGCCCGTGCACGGGAGGTACACCAGGAAGGACTCGATCTCCTGCGGCACCAGGCCCTTGTGGGGGATGCTCAGCGTCGGGGTGCCCAGGGCGTCCTGGTCGTTGGCGTACTCGATGCTGATGGCGTAGGGCAGCTGTGTGGGGAGGGCGAGGGTTCCACCAGTTAGATTTGGATGGATTGGGGGTGGCGGTGGATGGTGGTGCCTGGTGTCAGGTCAGGTGTCTTACCGGATAGGCGATGAGGCTCTGCCAGGAGAACTCCAGCTCGTGGACGTCCGCGGGCACCGGGACGGTGAAGTGCATCGCGTATGTGTTAATGGATCCCTCGTGCACGTAGAACAGATCCGCCTCGAGTCCTGCGAAGGATGGAAGAAGCGAGAGAATCAGAAGCAGAATCAGAATGAGCGTGGGGGATGCGGATGCGGATGCAGTGCAGACATAAAGGGAAAGTTTCCTCGCAATTTGCTTTGGCACACCCCCTCCATTAGCGTGGCCTTCATCCTGGCTCCAGGACTCCCCCCCCGCCCACCACCACCCCCTGCTGAGCAAACTTTGTGCATTTGCTGTTTACTCGCCCCTCAAGTCCCTTGCCAGCGCCCTTGAGCGGAAATTGATTTTCTCTTCAACACAATGGAACGGGCGAAGGGTGGAGGAAAAGGTGTCAAGGAAGAGGGGGGATGGAGTGCTGCACTAGGTGACAACACTGGCGGGTAAACAAAACCCAAAGCCCAAGACACAATAATAATCGAAATCGAATCCGTCACCAGCAGACGACGATGCGGGTCGCGGCGCAGGATCTGGGATTCCGCCAAATGAGGGAAGGGAAGGCATACTGGGGCAAGGGCTGGCCAGGGAGGGTAGGGTGTATTAAAAGGTGTCAAATGCTGTCCTAGCTCGACTCCGACAGCGACTCCCGCCACTTCATCGAGAGGTGGAATCATCTTTCATTGGGCAGGGGCGTCCTGAAGAGTTCTGTCCTCAGTCCGGAACGCTTTCCAATCCTCTCCCCATCCTGCCTAGCCCCCCGCTGGCAATGAAAGACGAGCTGCTTGAGTTAAAACGACGTGAAATTAAATTTCTTCATCCGCTTTCATTGTTGCTCCTCCTGTTCCTCATCCTCTGCTCTGCTCTGCTTATCCCCCCGCCCCATTGTGGTGCATTATTTACTCCCGAGTATCAGAATAAGCTTCGTCCTCTCACGCTTTTCAGGGATGCAGGGGGAGTGCTGTTTGGTCTCTTCAACTTTCCGCTACTTCTGCTCCTGGCTGTGCCTCCGCCTCCGCCTCCGCCTCAGACTCCGCCGGATGTTGAATGTTGCCATTCCGCTTCCGGCAGAGGCACAGGCAGCGGCATAGGGCAGAAGGAGTGTAGTGTGCATTTGGAATAGAACAAAGCGCTCTCCGTGCTGCTTAAAACAATTTTAAATCCAATTACAGACCAAGAAAAGCGCTTTTCGTTCGCTTTCATCCTTCAACTTGGCCTCTCCTTAAAGCATCTCCATCTTACGACTGATCCAGCGCTCCAGCTCCATCTCCAGCTTTTCTTCTGTTTCCATTCCTATTTCCATTTCAGTTTTGGATTCGTTTTAGAGTCCCAAATTGCTTTACCCCCCACAGCGTACGCTGCTCTGATGTTGCCCCAGACTCTGTGGCAGAGTGGGACACTTTCCTTTGGGTTTGGCTTTGGCGGTGGGCAAGTGCGAGTCCTTCAGTCACCTGGTAGCTGTTTTTTCCCTCTCCCAGGGAATGATCTGTCCTATGACAGAATGATTCCACTGCCATCAAATATGCACAAATAGGCCAAAAGGACAGTTCCACTCAGTCATTTCTTGTCAAAGGACAAGCCCCACAAACCGTTCTGCAAAGGGTGGATGGGTGCCAGGGGTAGGGGTTGCACTTGCGACAGCCTCAATTAATTCAGTTCCCTCATCTCGATTGGCCTCTTTGGGACAACAATCCTCAACTGCGCTTTGAGCATCCCGAATTGGCATTCCCACCCACACCTCCCCCTCTCCTATCTCCTCCTACAAGTGTCTCCCCTCCCCCACCGTTGGCCGTGTCGAAACTTTGCTCGTCTTTCATATCACGCGCTTCTCCTTCGCCTTCGACTTCCCTTTTCTGCCTTTCCTGCCAGTCGCTGCTGAACTTTTCCTGCGAAAGTTTTCCTCGCTTATGATTCCCCTCCTGGGCGGATCCCCCTTTACCATAATTATAATACCTGCGATTGCAATTGTCTGAATGACTCCGCCGCACACACGTGACGCTGCAACCGCAACTTGGATGCAGGGAAGGGAGCGAGGAGAAGACTTGGCTGGAGCTGGAGACTAGAGAGGATTGGCTGGAGACTGGTGGAACATAGTTCTGGCAGAGCCCAGAGCACAGACACAAAATTTACATAAAAGATTAAGAGGATAATTAGTGTCATTAGTGCGGAGACAGCATCCCACTTAACCCCTCTCCACTCCCCATTCTCTGGGGATTGCAGTGGCACCTTGCCGCTGATTAAAGCTCCCTGTGATTGTGATTGTCCTTCGAATGAGAGGCGAGAACCGCCCAATTGGCACAGATTTCGAGGCCCTCCCGCCACACCCAGCCAGGCAAGGCAATCGTGATGGATTCCAAGTGTCGAGCCACCCCTGGAAAGGACCTGTGAGGGATCTTATGGACCCAGAGGGTGGAGCGGGGCGGGGGCATATTAATGTGGAGATTTTCGGACTGTTTTCTATTCATTAAAAATAATTTTCTTTTGCATTAACTTTTCATTTGAGGGGAAATTTCCTCCGTTCACTCTCTGAAGGTTGAGCTCTGCCCAAAGGGGGTGCGGTGTGGGCTGAGGGGAAGCTGGTCCGAGGGGGGGACTCAGGAAAAAGGAAAAGTGTGCACATCAAAGCGAAACTTGTTGAAATTGCATTTTTACGCACCCTTGAACCGGGAAAGTCTTGAAGAGATGGAAGGGAGGGGGATGGGGAGTGGGTGTGGGTGTGGGTGACGGTGTCGGTGTCGCTGGCAACGAATGCGGAAAAGAGGAAAAATGCTCACGTTACTGGGACAACAGAAGAGAACAGAAATTGAACTCAGAGGCGGGAAATCTTCAACAAAAGCGTAAGAAATATTTAATTTTTATGTTGTCGTCACTTCATAGAAGATGGGTGTGGAAGGGGCATACCATGCCACGCCCAGAAGGAGCGGGAATCGGGGCATCGAGAGGCGGACTGAGGCAATCGTCGAACTTTGCTTACAGTTCCATGGCAGTGGCAGACACCGAGGCTGGAGAAGCCTCAAAGGATGCAACATATTGCTATAGGGAGTCCTTGGTCCCATTTTCATGCAACAAGATGGTTTTGGGTGGACCAGGAGGTAGCTGGAGCTGGAACTGAATGTGGGGTTAGAGCTGAGTGGAGCTGGGTCGACGTGCAACCATGACGAGCCGTCCTTCTACTTAAACGCTCTCCACATGGAGCCAGGAGGGATTGAAATGGTGAAGGAGGTGGCAGGGGTTGTGTGGGTCAGTCTGTTTGATTTCAAGCTGCTTCTTAATTTTCCTCCCCAAACGAGGCCAAAAGGGAGGGGTGTTAACTGGTAGTTAAAAACATAACGAGCCATCGCCAGGGGTAAGGGATGAAAAATCGAAAAGGAGCTTCGGGTTGGAGTTGGAGTGCGACAAGGCGGAAGGAGAGGAAAACTCCAAGCAATCGAGCAATGGAAATTCCAAAGAGCAACAAACAAAGTGGAAAATCTTTTGAGTTGTCGCTAATGAAATTCGATTTGCATGGACGGTCAGTGGTAGGGAGTGGGTGGGGGTGGGCGTGGAGAGGAGGCTCTTTGTGAGCCGCAGTTGACAGGAAGCTGCCTGTATTCATGCCCCATCGGCCTCGAATGCAATTGAAAGCCTTCAAAGGGGGGTGGAGGGGAGTGGTTGCATTTACGAGGCGGTGCAAGTAGAGGAGGGCATCAGCAGGAGCTGGAGCAGGAGTCGGTGGAGAGCCGCTCATTCATTCATCCATCAATCAAGTATCCATCTCCTTTTCTATTTCCATTCCCACTTGATGTTGATGTGGATTTTTTTTGGGCCATCAACTAATTAAAGTGCCTCTGATTCGGCAACTAGGAAACGGAGGGGAAGTGGCACAGGCGGGGGCGGGGGCGGGGCACAGCCGAAGCCTGCATAATGAGATGGAAGCCTTTATGCTCCAATTACAGTTAAGTGCCGGAAAATGCTGTGACCAGCTAAGCGACGAATGATGGACTGGCGGCCAGAAACTAGGCCACCTCTCCACTCCACTTCTGCCCACTCCCCCCCTTTGCTCGCAATTTGGGAGCTCCACTTGCTTTTCCCTCTCCCTCTTCGTCACCCAATTTCCATTCCGATTCCGATTCCTGTGATCCATTAATCAACCTGAGGAGCAGGAAAATCGCGAGCCAAACGACAGGCACGGCCAGGAGGCCATTCCGCTGTGGCACGTCGAATGATTCCTGCTATGTCTATGGCCGGATAACGAAGAGGGAGGTGCAGAGGAGAGGCCGTCTTGGCCTTGGCTCGATCTGGAGCCGGCGCCATCAATAACAGGAATTCGCGTGAAGCAACAAACGGGAAAACAAGAAAACAAACAAACGGAACGGAACAGCAAAACAACATGGAAAGTGGGCTGGAGAGGGTGATGGAGTGTGGGGTGTGGGGTGGCTAAGCAGGGTGGTGGCAGGAGAAGGAGGCAGGAAAAGCTACTTGCAGCTGTCAGCGAGGCGGGGAACGGGGAACGGAAATCGATTTGTGTGCGATTTGTTCTGTTTTACCAATTCCATGCACTGCTCCACCAAAACCTACACCTCCCACTGCTCTCCTCTCACTCCTCCCACCCTCTATGGTCAAGTATAATTTCAGAACTATTAATGACTACGATATGGCCCTGTGTTGGTATTGTGTTTTCTTGCTCGGGGATCAATGAATGTGTCCTGTTGCACTTTGTCCCCCAACTATTAATCATCGCTCAGGGTGGGAGCGGTGGTGGAGGGGGGCGTGTCAGTTTGAGGTTTGTCCCCAAATCGAAAGGTGGTTCCATTAAGGTTAGTAGGGGACTGGAACTGGAACTGAGAACAGGACTTACCCATCAGTTTCATCACCTCGTGGTGGCTGATGAAAATGTTCAGATGGCCGCTGACCAAAGGCGTCCGCCAAGTGGCCAACGAGAGGCAGAGGAGCAGCAGCGGCAGGGAACGGGAACGGGCTCTGAAGCAGGCCATAACTATGCGGAGGATGCAGGATGCCTTGTGGAGCTGGGAGCAGTTCATAAATTGCCAGGGCATGTGCCCAGAATTTCAACAGCTCCACTCCGTCCTCCCTCGGGTGCACTCTTTGGCAGCCAATCTCAGTGTGTGCCCATTGAAGCCTCGGCGGTGGGTGGAGGAGACACTTCCGCTTCCGCTCCGGGGATATTGTCCTGCTGTGGCTGATTTGAATCCAGTTGCCTCTGCTGCGGATGCTGTTGCCACAAACGGCAGCAGCACAGGCGACGCGGCTCTGAAAGAAGCGTTAAAATCAAATTTTAACTGCTGCTAACAGTTACGGATGGAATTGTGTGGGATGGGATGGGATGGTATGGGATGGCAGGACGATGGCTGTCTGACGAAATTTGTAACTTTTCAGCATCCCCATATCTCTCCTCTCCTGTTATGGGGTTTTTCAGCTCCCTCCTCGACTCCTCTCAACTTTCCTGTTTTGTTTTGCTTGCGGTTGCTGCTGTTCCCCTCTTTCTGGCTCTTCCTGCTGCTTCAGCTCCTCCTCCGCTGTCTGGAATCGGTTGTCGCCCCCAAGCCGCATCAGCGTGTCCACCACATTCGTATCTGGCAGAGTTTTGCTGGACTTTTATTGGCTGAGCTTCTGTCAACTGCCCTTGATCCTGCTCTTCCTTGTCCTGTCTACTCTGGTCTGTGGTGTTGTTGGTAGCTCCTGTCACTCCTGGCCACTCGATGGCGTAGAACACCTGGCTCTTCCCCGCTTCCGGCGTACCTTCTCCGTGTATTCCATGTTAAAGTCCTGTTCTTCTAAAATTGAAAGTGATTAAGTTTAGTTTTGAGGCGAGAAGCTGCAACAGAAGTTGCAAATATTGTGGAAGAAGCTGCGGAAGGAGGCAGATTGGGAGGGACTAGGAGGGGGCGAGTGCGTGGTCCTGTGGTTGAGTGATTCCCTTCCAGAGTCAACAATTTGTAAATGCGAATTTTAGAGAATTTCAGGGAATAAAAACTTTTTCCGGTGTGCTAAAGTAATTATAAACTTGAGGGGAGATTAACAGCTTCCCGCATTCTGGAGGGGCGGCATCCGGGGGCGACTCCGTCAGAATTCACTTACATCACACAAACACACACACATTTGTGGCATATGGAGGAAGGGGGAGATCGGGAGCTGCCTTAATAAATTTGAGGTAATATTTATGTGTTTGTTTGGCATAAATTATGAACTGGAAAAAGGGAAAAACTTTTGGCATTCGTAATGTTTGTGGCTGAAGTGGTTGGCCCTTGCCCTCTATCCCCGCTTCCCCGCCACCGCTCTGTGGCACTGTTTATTCAGCTGTTTCTGCCACTGCTGCTGCCCCTCAATCCCTGCTGGTTGCGTGTGCAGGTAGCTCGAGTGGAATTCCAACTGCAACATGGGGCAGCTTGGAGGGTGGAACAGGGGGCAGCCTACGCTGTAGGCATGACAATGGAACAGTCGAGTGGCTCCAAAATGAAATTGTTGCCAAGAAGCAGCAGCAATTGCTCCACTTGCCCCAGTCTCCACGGGAATGCTCTCCTCTTCTGCATCTCGTTCTCCACTTTAATTCCTTCTCTTCCTTTTTCTAGCCGCAATAAAAATCGAAATCGGAAAAGTTTGTAGCTTTCCCATTTCCCTAGTCTCTTTTCTGGCTCTGAACATTTTGGAATTTTAAAGTTTTACAAGCGGAAGATAGTTGTGGCAGTGGGCGGAAAGGGGGTGGGGCGTAGCCTTCGAATTCTGCGGCCATTTTAATTAAACTTATCTGCGGCCAACAAGCGCCGCAGGATGCCAAGAAGGCACTTGATTAAGAGCCAGATCAACATCAGCATCACCATCACCATCACCATCATCATTATCATCATCCAGAGATGGATAAGGAAAAGGATTCACGTCTGCAGAAGGGGGACGAATCCTTCGGCATTCGAAGCCATTCAACGAATGCATTCATTAATAATTCAAAAGACAAACAGACGCAGGCGAATGTGAATGCGAATGCGAATGGAAAGGGGGAAAGTGGGTCTGCCATGTGCATGTTTGCTTTGGGGGGAGTCTCTGTAACTGTTTTAAATGGAGCAGCAGACAAACAGCCAGCAGGGCGCACTTCCAAGAACAGTTCGCGAGGAAAAGCGGGAAACGCGAGGTCCCCTTTGCGGGTAGCGGGTAGATCCAATCTTAGTCAATAACATACTCGTAGTACCGACATCGACTCAATCATAATCAAAGGAGGGTACGACAAGGAGTACAGCAGAAGTTACTGTCGAACATTTTCTGCTTAGTCACAAGCATCGCCTGGCAGTCTGCCACGCCCCCATCTCCATCTCCAGCTGCAGCTCCGATTCCAGATCCCATCTCTCTGCGGATCCAGCAAGTGACAAATTGAGCATTCGGCATGCGAATGAAGATGATGAGATGAGATGAGCAGAAAATGAGGCAAGAATGGGGCTGTTGGGGATATTAGGGGATGGTGGAAAACTTTTCAATTACTTGCCAGTAACTGAAGCAGGAGCTGGGGAGTAGGAGCTTGAGCAGTGGAATGGGATTGGAATTCTAATGAATAATAATCTTTGCAGCCGTAGCCACTCTCCAAACCTTTTCCATCCATTAGTTCATCGACGGAGAGACAACACGTTCTGCTCGTTGGACGATTGCTCGCAGGAACAATATTTACTTTACTCATGCCGAGATTCCCCCACTGGCGACAGGCAATTAAAAGGACATCGATGGACTGCCCTATGACCTCCTTCTTTCAATTGCCAAGTGGCTTTCGTTTCTAATTGAATCGTAAGCCCGAGTCCATTCCGGTTAATACTCTATTCCTCCTCGGCACTCCACTGTGTTTGCTTTTAGTTTTCCTCCTTGCAAGGAGTTCATGAACTCTGCTCCGACCGGGGGATGTTTACTTTGAATGATTAACTGCTTTCTCAGCTCATTTCGGACTCAGGAAACTTTGGACCGTCTCAAAAATAGCAGAAAACACCGTCCCTAGAAGAAAAGTGTGAAGCTTATGTGGATACAAGTACAAGATACAAGTCGAAGGGTATGATCCATATAAATGGATTCGCTTCTGAAGGAAAAGACCTATTTTAAATATTAAATTTATTAGATATATAAATAAAATTAAATATTTGTGTGACCCTTCAATGTGTGCCTGGTCCAGTGCCCAATTTGTCCGCTATGAAAAGTGCTGTTCAGTGAACAAATTACAAATTGTCAGTACAAATTAGCTGCGAAAACAGAAATACATCGATTTAGGCCTCCGCCGCGGCCACCGTTGCCCTGGAAAAACAATCGCAATCATTTCCCATTTACAGGGACAACAAAAGGAAATGTCGCTCGTTATTTTTAATCAGCTATCAAAATTTATTGCTGAAAATTTGTCTGGCCGTTGGGCAGGTGTTTGCCCCTGGCCCAGGGCTCCCCTGCGTTCCCCTGCGCCCCGCTGCGCCCCATTGTGCTCGACCGTCCTCCGCTTTCAGTTCTGGCTTCCTATTACAGGTTCATTATAATTTGCGCGGAGTGGAAATATTTTACGCGAATTTAATAATGTTGGGGAATTGGGCAGCCACATTAAAGCTAATGGATCTGATACGGGATGTTAGTTATGCTTTCCGTGTTTTTCCTTGTTGCGGATGGGATGTATCGGATGTATCGGATGTGCGACCGAAATGAATATTTGATGGGGATTTTGGCTCAGTCAGAGGCACTGAGGATAAAGCTGAATTCGGTTTTTGCATTTGATTGAAGATGGTTTTAATGTGGATTTAAACATGTAGCTTTAGGGCCAGAAAATGTGCTATCATTCCGTTTAAAACTGGTCTACAGGAACCAACTTTAAACACACAATTTTGATAGAGACATACAAAAGAATTTATAAATATATGTATACATTGGAACTTGCTTTATTCTCAGTCGAAATGTCTCAGGCATTGGACCACAATCATTGATTTATGGCCTTTCCTTTACAGTCAAGTATATTCTTTTCTTTATAAAGAACAAACAAAATGGCCATCAAACCTCAGAGCTCTGCCTCTCTGGCTGTCTCCCCTCCATTCGTACTGGTGGATAAATGTTCCATGTCCTTGATTTCATGAGGACCCTGACTAATCTATGCTTATTTCTCCAGCACTTGCAGGCAAAGACTTATTCCAGGAGTCCATTGTAGTTTGGTCCTCCGTTGTTGTTCATATTGTCCGTTGCTGTTGCGCCTGCTGGCGTTGTTGTTGGTGGTCCAAAAGCACTTAGTGGCTATTCAATCAAGAATCCACTAAGTGGAGCTAGTGGACAGGCTCAATGGCCATAACGAAAGCACGACCAAAGGAGCGTCTGGGTCTGGGTCTGGGTCTGGGTCTGGGTCTGGGTATGGGTCTCCTCCACTGAAAAGTGTCCGAGCGTAACATCGGATTTGCATAATATTCTTTTATGGCGCTTACGTTTGCGGTCGTGAAACCGAACCCGGACAGCCGAGTGGGTGGCTGTTTGAGGGGTCATTGGCTTGCGGGGCGTTTATTGAGTGGCTCTTAATCCCTGGCATATTTCAATTAGTGTCAACTTTTTTCTGATTTCTCCTCCCGTCTTCCACCCTTACCCCTTATCATTTCTTTACTTTGCATTGCTCTAATCTGTGTATCCACAAACACTCACACTCACACACACACAGACACAGATATACATATAAGTACCAGGCGTTGTGCATGAGGGTTGGTCACGCAAGGCTGCGGTGGCAAAAAAATAATGTTCGAAGTGACTGTAAATCTGCCGGCGCGTGTGTCACATCTTAGCTGCTGACTTACGACTGACAGTGTACCGTGGAAATTGTATTTTATTCTGAATTTAAGTAGAATTAAGTTTTGAAGTCAAATTTTATCCGTTTTCTCTTCTCGAACGATAAGTGTACTGAGAGAAAAATGGCCTCATAATTAGTAAAACACACATAAATGTTCGGCTTTAAAATAAAAGAATAGGGAAATTAAATATAAGTAAGAAATATTTT